AAGGGCAAGTCAAACATCCATACTACGAAGGCAGGTCAAATATCCATACCACGAAGGCATGTCAAATATCCATACCACGAAGGCAGGTCGAATATCCATACCACGAAGGCATGTCTAATATCCATACCACGAAGGCAGGTCGAATATTCATACCACGAAGGCAAGTCAAATATCCAGCATAGTCAAACATACCATTCACATCAGTAGGATTGACGCGGTTAAATAGGAAACTCATGAGATTTCCCGTTTAATCGTGTTAGCCACTTGAAATCCTCCAACTAGTGAGTATCGTTGGAGTTTCCAATATTATCATTCCAATACCACAAGGTTTAATGTTGCTCCCTCACCTGAGTATTCGTTAAAGCTTTACACTAAAGGTTCAGTTGTGTTCTCTGCCGTCTCCTCCAACCTTAGGATCTTTCAACCCAAAACAACAACAATTACAACACATCATTTTGCATATCAAAACAATAGTAGTACTAACCAATACTCACAATCCATAAGAAAACATCATCTATTCCGTTCATTTTCAACAAAAAGGGTTTCCCTAATATTTCAATGACTCTACGGTTTTGAAAACAACTTCTCACACACCCATTTAGAAAAACAACTCATACTCTATGAGTTTTATAAGGTTTTCCAAAGCAAAACGAACAACAATGCCAAGAGAGGGTTTATGGGGTTTTATCCCTAAACATGGAGAAGAGACCCCATCCAAAAATCATGACATTCAACCATAAAAGAGCTAAATTAAGTGATTTACCTCTTCTCCGATCTTTTCTTTGACTCTAAGGGTGCACAATCTTCCTAACCGCTCATCTTCTCTTGATTTTTGAAAATAATGACCCAATTCTCACTTGGGACTTCTATTTTAGGTTTTAGGATTTCGAACTCTCGCTCAAGCGAGAATAGGCTCGCTTGGGCGAGAACCCACGACTCTTCGCATCATTCAGGAACTGATGCTCTCGCTCAGGCGACGTTTTCTCGCCCAGGCGAGATTCGTCCAGTCTCAACACCCTTTCTCTCGCTCAAGCGAGTTCCCCTTCGTTCGGGCGAGAATCCCAGAAAATGCCTGAGAGCAACTCTGAGTCCCTCGCTTGGGCGAGCTGATTCTCGCTCAAGCGAGAATCATCCAGTAGCTCCTAGACTTCCTGATATCCACACTACTCAAGAATTGAAAATTTTGGGATGTTACGATATGCATGTTAAGAATATATATAACTTATCCACACATTATATTTGTGGGTTAATTTATCTAAAGAAGTTACATTGTTGTGTGCGTCATATTTGACCATACCATGACTTTAACCATATGCAAACCCACCTGTAACACATTTATGGATGATTGGACTTCCACCCCTTCGTGTTGTGGCTATGCCCTTGAAGACTTCACCCAACACCACTTCGTTTCATGAAAAACACGTCACACTAGAAGCCTTAGAAAGTTCACAGGATAACCGCAACTACCCAAGTGGACACTGTGTGACCAAACCAGCGCCTCAACAACCCATATATTTCAGTGGGACAAGCCTACACCATGCCAGATTCTTGTCCACCAACATACTTTGTTTACTATGACTAATAACTTATTATTCTTCAATAATTTGATATAAATTTATAGAAATATATATTCAAATTATCTTTGACTTATTTTCCTTATTCATTTGAAAAACTAATTTTTGAAAATTAAAATAGTACTAATTTTAAATGGAAAATATATTTATTATCAATTTTATTCTTTGAAAATGATATTATACTTATGAAACATGCAAAATATATTTTGAATCTCCAAAAGAATATTTTTTAGTGTATTAATCATGTTTGATATTTTCAAAATTCTTAAACTCCAAACCTTGTATAGTTAAAAAAAAGTGTCCATTTTTTTAACAAATCTCAATTTTATTTTCAAATACTACTCTTTTTGTAATATCCTAAAAAAACTACTAAGTCTAATATATTATAACATCTCTTATTTACTATTACTAATAAGATATTATTATTCTTCACCACGATATAAAACTAAAGACATGTACATTCAAATTATCTAGTTTACTTTCAAAAATAATATTACACTTAGAAATATTCAAAGAAAAGGTTGACAAGTGTGCCTTACATTTCCAAAATTTCATTATTTTAAATTAACTTTAAAATCCATATAATAGTTTGAGGAATAATAAAAAATTTAGTCATTTTTCAAACAAAAAAAATAATTTTATTTTCAAATACTACTATTTATATAAGACCATCAAATATTACTGATTATACGATATACTAAAAAAATATCAACTCTATTATTTACTAATATATTTATCATTAAAAATTATGTATTATTATTATTCTTTATAATATTGGGTCGATATAAAATTGTATCGATCAAGATACAAATATATTTCAATTAGATTATTTTATTTTGAAATTTATTGTGTGGAGTTAAGATAATAATAATTTGAAAGAAAAATAAAATTGGTATGAATTTCCCTTAATGAAAATAATATTATATTTAAGAAATGTTAAAAATATAATTGAAGACATTTCTTGTTCAAACTTATTTAGCAAGTTTGAACTTTTCAAAATTTCTTAGGTTATAAGTTCCAATTAATGACTTTTACAAACTATGAACTTCAAAATTGTTAATTTATATAATAAATTTAAAAGTCTATCAGTTTTGCTTTTATTATCACCTACTTCATTTAATATTATAGATTAATAATAATATATTTATATTCTTCATGAATAATAATAAAATTATTGAGATGAATCACGATTCCTTATTTACATCAAATATTACTATTTATATAATACCCTAAATTTTTTATCAACTATACTCTACTATTATCACCACTTTAATTATTATTACTAATAATATATTATTATTCTTCATCACTTCAATTATAGATATGGAGATTCATAATATATTTGGTTCCTTTTTTGTTTGGAAACTTAATTTTGAGAATGAAAATAGTAGTACTTTTAAATAAAATGTAAAATTGTCATCAATTTTCCTTAAAAATATAATAGCCTCAATAATATTTATCATCTACTTTATTTACTAATAATAATGTATTATTATTTGTCGCGACCCGATTTTCGGTTGGAAGACCGGTCATGCGACTTAGGGAGAGGTGAACTCGATTTCTACCTCTTCCAATTATTTTGGAGTCGCCACTACGTTTTTTGCGGTTAAAACGTAGAAAACTCTAAATTACGCCCGATTAGGATAATTTGGTCATTTAACAGAGATTCTGAGCTCGGGAGTCGATTACGAATCGGGGAAGGTGTTAGCACCCCGTCCGCCCGTATTAAAACGGTACCCTTGCTAATAACATGGACTTTTATACCCTTAAAATAATCTATTAAAATTGAATTACTTAGAGCGAAATATTTTTATTTTTTATTGTTGTGCTTGACAAGAGTTCATCTTGCTCCTACGTATCCCTAGGTGCAAAAGGGAAATCAAGGCTACGTAGTTCTGGTTTGAAAATTAATTGGTGTTGGTTTAGTTTGTTTGAAAAGTTGATGTAAATTGTATTCTCTTTAAGAAAAGATGAAGCAGCAGAAACTAATGTCCGCACCATATCAAATCTTAAAGAGATTTTGAAAGTTATTAAACTACTGTGTTGGAATTTATTTATCTTTAAGATATATATTATTTTTTGAAATAATTGAGATGCATTGTTTGGAATTATTTATTTTTAAGATATATGAAGTAGCAAGACTAATGCCCGCGCCGCATCATATCTTAAAGAGATTTGAAATAGTTTTAAAATATATTATTGAAATTATTTACCTTTAAGATAGATGAAGTAGCAAGACTAATGCCCGCGCCGCATCATATCGTGAAGAGATTTGAAATAGTTTTAAAATATATTATCGAAATTATTCACCTTTAAGATAGATGAAGTAGCAAGACTAATGCCCGCGCCGCATCATATCTTAAAGAGATTTGAAATAGTTTAAAAATATATTATCGAAATTATTCAGCAAGACTAATGCCCGCGCCGCATCATATCTTAAAGAGATTTGAAATAGTTTAAAAATATATTATCGAAATTATTCACCTTTAAGATAGATGAAGTAGCAAGACTAATGCCCGCGCCGCATCATATCTTAAAGAGATTTGAAATAGTTTAAAAATATGTTATTAAAATTATTCACCTTTAAGATAGATGAAGTAGCAAGACTAATGCCCGCGCCGCATCATATCTTAAAGAGATTTGAAATAGTTTAAAAATATGTTATTAAAATTATTCACCTTTAAGATAGATGAAGTAGCAAGACTAATGCTCGCGCCGCATCATATCTTAAAGAATGTTTGAAATAGTTAAAAAATATATTATTGATAAAACTAATTTGTCTAATAACATATAATTATTAGAGTTTAATAGAACCTCTTTGATTAAATAAGATTACTCATTTGGTATAATACAAAAAACAAATAAATAAAAGAAGACATAAACAAACAAAAAAAAAAAAAAAAAGTTTACTGGGCTCGGGTTAGGCCCAGCTAAGAAAACGGATTGAAGGGGGGAGGGGTTAGATTTAGGTTTGTCATTTTTGACTTGGATGGCATGGGAGAGGAGAAGAGGGAAGTGAGAAGAAGAGAGAAAATCGCGGAGGTGAGAACTGAGGGCGATTCGTCGCGATGAGAAGACGAAGGCGGTTCGTCACGGCGGGAAGACGAAGGCGATTTGGTTCTCCGGTCTTCTTCTCCGATTATCTTCTCCGTTAACAGTGACGCGGTGGTTCCGACGAAGGTGAGAAGACGAAGCCGAGGAGCAAATCGCGATTCCTCTTCCGTTTTCCTCCGACAGTGGCGGAGGCGGTTTGCGGTGACTGGTAAGGGGTAAGGTCGTCTCCTTCCTCTTTCTTCTCCGACGAGCGGCGATGGTGGAACGAAGTTACAAAAACAGCGGCGGGTTCGTGGTTGGTCGTCTCCTTCCTCTTTCTTCTTCGACGAGCGGCGATGGTGGAACGAAGTTACAAAAACAGCGGCGGGTTCATGGTTGGTCGTCTCCTTCCTCTTTCTTTTCCGACGAGCAGCGGCAACAGTGACGGCAAAAAAATAATCGACCTACTGTTTTGATGCTTGAGACGATTGGGATTAAACGGATTAGGTAACAAGCTATACACCCTCTATGTCCCTACACTCAGCTATTTTTCTTGGATACCTCGGTGAATTATTTGCGAATGCTAACTCAGAGTACAAATTCACAATCCGGATTATATCAATTTATGGGTCGTTTCTATTTTAAAACACATAATAAAACGTATCCCATGAAACTGGTTGAAGTAGATGCCCTCAATTACGTATTTCGGTATACAAATGCACACAATAGCTAGGAAACAAACTAGATGATGATTAACCAGGAACATATGCTTTTTATGCTTTGGAATTTGAATGCTCCTTGATAATTGCCATGAGTATAGATATGCACTATCTGAAAACATGATTCAACATTTGTAATTATGCCAACATAATGAGTAACAAACCTGTGTATGTACCTTTCCTTTAACTATGAGTGTTGATACTTTATGGATTCCCTGTTTGAATGCTGGACTGATGCCACTTTGATTACTATGAGTGATTTGAATATAGTTGCAGGCTTATATGTATGTGTAAGTGTATAGACTGGTTATGTTGCTTGTGTGGTTGAAAGAGTGATGAGTGATGTCTACTTCTCAATGGTATCCTCCTTTTCTGGTTTGATGTGTGTCTATATATAGCACCCATCTGTTAGCCTTGAAGGTTAGTAATCTGCCATGACTTTTTGCTTTCCTGATTATTGCCTCTTTCTAAAACTGCTCAATGAATATTGCCATTTATGATTAGTATGTGTAACTAGTGACTTTTGGTTAGTATCTGATGGTTGTCTCTTCAAGTAAATCACGGCTGGTTGCTTAGAATTCCTTGTGTAACTGACTTGATTGCCATCCTTTATTAATTTCTGATATTTGCTAATACCACACTGATCATTGATATGCAATTGTAACAGTTTTGCAGTTGTGTATGATGGACCAAATACCATGAGTCTCGTTCTTACCTCCCTTGAAACCCATGTGAAGATTTGATTTTTTGCTAGTGTGACTGAAGACAATACACCTCAAATATGACAGATGGCAGATAACATGTACAATGTTGAAGATGATTTGCTATAAGACCCAACTAAGGCCTCTTAATGTTCTTGCTCCTTATGATATTATATGTTTAGTCTAGAGCTTTAGATTTATCAGAAGACATTCCATATTTGTAATTGCTACTATTGTTAGTTCAATGAGTAGTATTATTAATAAATTCATACCATCAAATGACGCCACATCAATCTTTTATTTTCCTACCCTTATATCACATTGGCAATACAATGCACATGCATCCACTTCTCTTAGATTCTTGGTATAACGTTAATTGAGTTTTCTTTCTTGCTTCCAACTTCAATACCATCTAATGTTGTTGGCATTGATGAGCTGTCCTCTTTTATGCCACCTGAATATATCCACAAAAGGGCAGTCCAAACTGATAATGAAAAGCAATAAATGATTACCATAATATCATCTTAAAAAATTATCCATGTTCCTCTCATTTTTTTTGTTTAAGAGACAAACATTTTGGTATTGACATTGGGGTAGGACAAAATTGGGTGTTCACATTATTTATAGGACTGTATAGATTTAAAATAGGATTTTATATGTATATACTGAAAGTATAAATGTTTTTTATACTGTCGGCACATCATCTATCATTCATATAATGATAGCATGGATTCTCAAACAAAAGTAATAAAAATCAATGGTCAATAATGTAAAAAAAACTTTATACTAACTGTGTATGATATTAAATTCTTTAAGATATAGTGACGGCCATTCAATATTTTTCATATTCGTTGAGAAATTATTTTTCTGGGATCGAAATAGTGATAATTTTAAATAAAAAATAAAATAGATATCAATTTTGATCATTGAAAATTTTATTATACTTAAAATGAAAAATATAATTTGAGATGCAAAATAAGGTGTTAGCTTTTGCAGAACTCTTTAACATCATATTTCATTGGAGTTTGAATAGTGAAGATCAACAATGAGAATGTAACATACAACTTATTTACTTACTAATAATATATTATTATTTAGTATTATTTATAAAATATTACTATTGTTCAGCACTTCAATATAAAATTATAGTCATGCACATTCAAATTATATATAGTTTATTTCCCTTTTCAATGGAAAATTTAATTTTTGAAATCAAATTAGTAATAATTTTAAATAAAAAAATAGCATTATTATTTTCCTCATTCATGGGAACGACAAAAGTATATTTTGATACTCAAAACTATTGTATTAAAGATTATTTAGCATTTTTTGACATTTTCAAAATTCAATCAATTCTAATTTTTATAAAATAGTTTAAGAATGAACTAAAACAATTTCTTTTATTTTAATATATTCTAGTATCACATACTTTATATGTTACTGAAATAAAAAAATATGAGCTTTATTTAATGTTTCAAGATTGATAGATGATTCATTCAGTTTATTGTTAACTTTTCAAGTCACGAAAAACTCTGAAAATTTTGGACAAAAATATAACTCATTATATTTGTTTTCAATTATTTTCTTCTCGTCTTTTCTAAAGTTTTTCAAATTGATTAGAGATTAGAATAACATATTTTAGATCCACATTCTTGTTGATATCAAACAACAAAGTTTCATTTTTAATTTGTGAAAAAGATAAAATTGATAGATTTGGAGCGAGGAATCTTATATTTAGGAGAGTGAGATTAGGATACTTAAAAATAAGGAAGTTGTGGGGAATCAACCACGGCCAAGCTTAGTAAGAAAGATAATGGTGTCTTTGCTTAAAATGGTGTCTCCATTATTGATAATCCTCAAACTAATCTAGGAATTAAATGCAGTGCATCCTTATGTATAAAAATAATTGAAGCACTAAAATAGTCACACTCCAATTCATCTCCTCTAAGTAGCAATAGGACTCATGTAACCCAACATTACATACTTTCCTTTTAGCATTAAATCATTAATATCTCAACTTTCTTTTTCTCTAGGAACAACTCATTTTCTTCTATCAAGTCAATCATATTTGTAGCAGTCACATCACCAAATAAGGATTACATGTCCATAACTTCTATCAAGTCAATCATATTTTAGCAAATAAGATAAATATGTTATTTTTTATTTTCTTTATATTTATATGATAATTGGGACACCACTACACCATAAAACGTCTTTAAAGGCGGTTCTTCAACAACGCATCCTAGAATAATGTTGTTAAATTCGAGGTGGAGGAAAATAAACAGCGCATCTTTAAGAAATCGTTGTTAATACTGATAGGCAGGTATAGCATCAATAGCGCAACCGCGAATGTGCGCTCTTTAACAGTGCTCTTTTTCGCTGCGCTATTAATAGGAATATATTTAACAACGCCTGTTTTTTGTTACGCTGATGATGAGATATCTTCTACAGCACATTGTTCAATATTCACTGTTAATTTGTTATCTTATACAACACTTGCTACAATATGTGTTGTTGCTAGTTAAACATTATCAAAACACATTCACTATAAAACTTGTAAAATAAAAAAGAAATAGTAAAAAAAAAATTTAATTTCAGGGTGCACATTTCTAATGTAGTGAGCAAAATTGGATAGAATGAATTTTTCTACCCCAAACGCATATATAATATGTCCAGTTCTGATTAGTGGTTCAAAAGTTATGTAAAAAATAGTGATACAATACCTTTAACATCGCTTATTTACGCAAGCGCAGTTGATATGACATCTTTAACAGCGCTTATTTACGCATATATTGTTGTTATGACATCTTTAACAACACTTATTTACGCATGTGTTGTTGATATGACACCTTTAACAGCGCTTATTTATGCATGCGGAGTTAAAGATGTATTAAATAGTTTTATGATAAAATATTATTTTTGACATAACTTTTGAACCACAAATCAAAATTGGACATATTATATATGTATTTGGGGTAGAAAAATTCATTCTATCTAAATTTTTCCACTACATTAGAAAGATACACTTTGAAATTCCAGAAAAAAACAATTTATTCTAATTTTTTTTATTTTACAAGTTTTATAGTAAATATGTTTTGATAGAGTTAGTGTAGCTTCAAAGTCACACATTTTATAGCGCTTTTTTAGATAGCACTGTTAAAAGTCATACATTTTTTTAGTGACGCGAATCTTTGCAGATTTAAAAACAAAACCTCACACACAATAATACACATATCATTCAGCTCTCACTCTTCTTCTCTTAGTTTCTCTCTTCAAGCAAGTTATTAGTTTTTGATTTCTCTATCCGAGCACAAAGTGAATCATTCTCTTATTTTACCTCGTTTATTGCTCTTTGATTCACTCTTGTTCCTTTCACTTACATATACATTAACTGTTTATTTTATATTGCAGTGTAATGTAAAAGTTCATGTTTTATATGCCCCAATTAGAATTTATTATACTTGTTTCCTCACAAGTTACTTAAAATTGTTCTCATATAATTATGTAACATGACTGAATTGATGAAAAGATCAAATGGTGCTTACTTTCCTGAAGAGGTATCCTTGTTTCACATATGTGTTTGTGCATTGTTTTGCACTTTTGCCAAAACTTGAATTGGTGTTTAGATTTTGTTATGACTCACATTGGAAGTTGTTGACATTGCTCAGAAACTCTGCAAATGGTTCAGATTGGATGTTGTTGACATTACTCACCGTATTATTTTGTCCATTAGTCATTTTCATTACTACATATGGTTAACGAAGATAAGTTCACACAATGGTTTGATTTCATTCTTATTATATTGAAGCTTCTTATGGGTTTGATAAAATGTTTGAGAGAATTTTTGCCTTATTTAATATGAGTGCTGTTAAATTGGTATTGTTAAAGGTGACATATTAACAGCACTCATGATGAGCGCGGTTAAAAGTCATGTACATATATAACAGTGTTTGTTGGAAGTGGCTCTGTTGTATGTATGACATACAACAGCGCACACATAAGTACTGTTAAATATACTATCTACGACTTCGGTCAAACATACAGCGACAGGACACACTATCCTAAAGCAAAAAAAATACAATTACTCAACGTATCTGATATAGTGCACGCTTGAGGACAGAAGATCCTCGTTCCACGTAACCATTGTGATATAATTTTACACTGAATTTTATTGTTCTTGCATAGCGTGCCACAACCTGGGCCACAATTTAGTAAACTTTATTTTATTTATAATATCTATAACTCAAGCTTATTTATAATTGGTTAACCAATCACAATTTCCATAAGAACACTTGGACACACATGAGACACATTATTTCATCCGAACTTTAGACCCCACTAAGACATCACTTGGACACATTGAACAACGTTTCAAACCGAATCCAATTATTATATGGATCATGGAGCGATATAGGAACCATCCACAACAAGATCATGGCCAGTGATAAACTCAGAATCATTAGAAGCAAGAAATAACACAGCATCCGCTATATGTTTAGCAGTGAGTATCACTCCTTTCAGCCTCGCCGTATTCGCACAAAGCTCATAAACCTTCTCTTCACTCCCTGAATATTTCAACGTCATCGGAGTTACCAATGCATTTGGTGAGACACAGTTTACCCTTATTCCATGCTCCGCTAACTGTATACTCGCCGAACGCACCAACCCTAACAATGCATGCTTCGACATGGCGTAATCCGTACCATCAGATCCACCATTGCTTCCATATATGCTTCCCGTGCATACTATGCTTCCCCTTACGTGCTTCTCCACCATGGCACGTGCGGCGTGTTTCACACACGCCGCCATTCCACTAGCATTTACGGCAAATAAACGGTTAAGGTCGGTTATGTTAAGTTCAAGGATGGTTTGTTCTAACTCACTGCTGATACCAGCGTTGCTGAACATGATGTTGATTTGTCCGTAATTGTTGACCGTTGATTGAATTAGGTTTTGGACTTGTTCTTCATCTGCTACGTTGCAGTGTTTGTAGGTGCACTTGTTGGTTCCAATAGACTCAGCAACTTTGTTGCCAAGATCGTCTTGAACGTCTGCAATTACCACCATACCCGCACCTTGATCGGCAAAGGCACGCGCCGCTGCCTCACCGATGCCACCGGAT